CATAATATACAGAGCACGATCTCAGCTTTGCAGAAATCGCAGCAGAAAGAAGATCAGATCAAACTTCATCAATCTGAACAACGTTGACGCTTAAGCATTTTTTATTTTAAACGGTGATAAATATAACGAAAAAATGAAAGGCTTGTTTGAGTCATTAACTACCTTCTAACACCCACAAAACTTATTTCTAAAGCGTAGAATAAATTTTATTCATGTTCTGGTGCGCACGTGCGTTTGCTGAGATCATCAGCTTGTTCAAGTTGCGTAAACAGAAGTAGAACTATTGCAAACAATAACACAAGGATATACTTCAGATACCAATCAATAGAGGGTCCAATCATTGTAAACCTCAGCCATTCCATTTTGTTAGGGTTCTCCTTTAACTTCAGCCTCGTATAATGAGAAAGAAAATTTTACCAACACAAAAATACAAAAACTGCACAAATGCGTTGTGATTGTCGAGATCATCACCTTGAACCGCTTACATTAGGAGAACGTCTCTGGTTTGTTGAGATTTGCCGGATTTGTTCCGAACTAGGATTCTGCTTATGTTACAGGAGGCCAACTTAGTTTCCTTAACCTCCACTTCTATTGAGATTACTTGTAGAAAAGTAAGGAATGTAGTCGTCCCTTCATCGACATGCAGTCCTGTGATTTAACCTTCTTGCATCAACGCTGTGTTCATAGTTTAACCGTCGTTCTTTGTCCTTCATTCGAAGAACGCTCTCCTTGCCATATAGCGGTATTGACCTGTCCAAGGCATGGTGCAGGCGAATTTTTGTCGAAACTGTTAATATTTTCTCAACTAAAATATTGGCAGGTTATTAAAAACACTAGATGAAAGGGACCGCTGGATTTTGAGTCATTGGATATGATGGAACCGCGATAGCTAAACTGATTACGTTCCTCTTATTTCACTGGAAGATCCGGTGTGCTGAATGGTCTCCTGAGAAATTTTTACATCTGGGATTTAAAGAATCGGTGAGTCCTTCTGCAGTCGTTTTCCAAGGATGCCGTCTGGTACTGAGACTCGCTTATCGTACCACTAAACTGCTGTCAGACCAGTTCTCCTGTGCGGGCTGAAAATGGGTGATGCACTCACAAAAGTACACAGACAGCCTACTCGATCTGACAGCCTACAACTGTGCTGTTTCAACCGGCTGCTTCAGACAAACGATACGACCATAAAAAACCTGATAGTGGTGTTTAGTTTATACTCTTGGCACTAGCCGACTAACAAACGCATCGAGGATGTTGAGGGACAGACGT